CTCAATGAACATACTTACCTACTTATTATGTTTCAACCTTTTATTACTCGTAACGCCTAAACCAACCCCGCCATCAACGTCTCGCGAAGATTTCAAAAAGACGGAAGTCCGGAAACATAAACGGGAAGATATTATTTGTTCGTTTAAAACACAAAACGGACCGGTAAATTTTTTTTCACTTTGTAAAACTAACTGTAGAAATATAGCGACTTTAAGTGATTTTACACTCGTGAACAGTCGTTAGAAAAGGAAAAAAGTAAAACAACTAAACGAACACAGTTTAAAAAATGAATGAAAATTTTCAGCTGCCAAAAACCAACTATTTTTCCTTTCCTTCTTTCATTAAACCTCAGCATCAATCAGTATGCACCAAACAACAACAAAAAAAAAAAAAAACTTGCACTGTTGCAGTAGCCTAATGCTGCAGCTATGACGTTGTAAACATTAGTTCTCAGTTTTTTATTTCATCTACTGTTGAAAGTCTTCCTTTTTGCCTTCCATCTTTAGTAGTCATACTACCATTAAATATTATACAGAGTAAAACTTGGAACTGATGTGCGTGTTACATCGTTCACTTATTCGCCAAAAATTTCTTTTTCCTAATATAGCCAATTCTTTTGGCGCCGTCGGCCTCTCCTAACGATATTTCATACCCTAATTACATGAAAAATTAGACTAAAAACGTGTCTAGAACTAACTGCAACTAAACAACAAAAAATACTCCACTAAGATTTGAGAAAACAAACAAAGGTTCCGAGAAAGTTCCACCTCACAATAACTGCATCACTGATAGAATAAGGCTCCTTTTCTTCCCCCCACTCTGTAACCGAACTTAAGCACCACCAGCCAAACGCTAATCATACTCCCGCGCGTACTGAAAAAAGCCCTTCGAAGAAGTAACCCCACAGAGCACAGATACCTGCGCAATCTTCTGAGGCGACGTCCACTCCTTCCCTTCTGGTTCATAACGTTACAGCCAAATTGCAAACTTTTTGACCGTGCTAATCAGCCAAATATAAAAAAAAAATGCCCGAAACGTCCACGCAACTTTTAACTCTTACTTTTCTGTTTTTGGCCAATTTCACTTAAACGACCAACATCCTCTTTTCACCACTTGCCTTAGATGATGCTCTACTACTGACCAGTCACGAAGACTGACCAAGTAAATGAAAATTAGGAGAGAAAATTTAAAAGAAAAACAACAGACGGTAGACAAGTTACTGTAACTTTGATTTTATTTAATCGTAAAAATACAAATAAGGAACAACGCCATAAAGATGAAGACCTAACTTCCAGTCCTCAAAATCAGCCTACACGTAAAAATCCCAACTTTTAATTCGCACCCATAAACTGTTTCATTTCAGAACATACAAGAGAATGTATATAAATCATTTTCCACAATCTGTTAACATAATAAGAGAATAAGTCACTAACACGTCTTTTAAAAAGAAGCTTCAGTGTCTTTCTTTCAATATTCCAAACCGCCAAAAATCCAACCTAAATTCTTTTATACTCTTGTTTACTTCATTTTTTTTTTTTTTTCTTTTTTTAAATAAACAAGAATCTGGGACAGAAATATGGAAAAAAAGCCGTAAATGATTATAATCATCATGGAACAAAATCCTTAGTCCTGGAACACATCACCGCTTAGATTCTTAACATCACATTATGAACTAGACAAATTAAACTACAGATACTACCTCCAGCTCAACAAAAACAGGCTCGCTGAGACAAAACAATAATGATAATAGTAGTCGCAATAGTAATATTCATAAAGACAATAACGACGTTTATAGTAATAATAATAATAATAGTAATAGTGATAATAATAATAATAATAATAATAAT